TATGGTCGACCATAAATCACTTAAAAATGTGTACGAAATTAACTTTACGATTCTCATTGCTTTCTGAACGGTCATTTTTCACTGACACTTCTAACAGTCTGTTTCGTTAAGCCTTAAATAAAGATAATAATTAAATCACAAACAAAACCATGCAGTACTTGCACCCACCAGCTAAACTAGGGCAAGTACATGACTTACAATACGGTTGTTCTTGTGTTTAAATATTAGTGTATTATTAAAGGTTAGAGGAAAAGCTGCTCAGTCTTTTTACATACCATGAACTTGTTTCTAAGTGTACTATTACAACATGGCGATTATAAAGAAAACCCCACAATTAAAATTATTATGTCAGAAAAAGCTCCGTCTTCAAGTTTCACCAAGGGCACACCGAGAATCATAAGATTTATTCGGGAATGTTTGGTCACGGTACAGGGTGTTTTAAAGAAGGTGTTCAGTCACTCTCAGTCCTGTTATCAAGCCCATCCCTAAATGAAGCCCCTGCCAGCAGCATCTGCTCTGGACAGTCTCCACTAACCCTCGCAATGTCCTGCACATTGTATTGAAACTACCAATCTTTTATTGTTGAAAGATAGACAATAAAAGCAATTCTATTTTTCGAGAAATTCAGTCTGGGTTTGCAAACTATTATGGCTTTTGTGACACCCTTTGTGGCTACTTTGCACATTTTACGGTAACTAAATTACATAAAATTCTCCTCCTCAAACGTTCTCAGGGGGTTACCAAGTTTAATCTATTTGAAATGTCACTATTTATTACGTTGTTTTTAATTCTGAGATGACTAAGACATTTCTTACAGTATATTTATATATAATTTTGACAAATATTAGCATATCATAAATATAATTTAATAAACTCCCGCCACTGTAGCTCAGCGATAAACTTTATGAGGACCAGGTTTTATAATGTAAAAATTCGGGGTTCTATCCAAGCGGTGACTATAACGCAGATACTTCATTGTTCTGAATTGCGCTAAATCAGATAAGCAGCAACAAAGACTAGTTTATAACTTCACTTCTTACAAAAGTCGGACTCTTGGTGTATGTCTTCTAACACTAGAAGTGGTCAGTGTTCTCTATCACTAGAATTGGTGGGGTGGTTTCTATCACTAGAAGTGGTTAGTGTTTTCTATCACTAGAATTGGTCAGTGTTTTCTATCACTAGAAATGGTCAGTGTTTTCCATCACTTGAATTGGTCAGTGTTTTCTATCACTAGAATTGGTTAGTGTTTTCTATCACTAGAATTGGTGGGTGTTTTCTATCACTTGAATTGGTCAGTGTTTTCTATCACTTGAATTGGTGGGTGTTTTCTATCACTTGAATTGGTCAGTGTTTTCTATCACTTGAATTGGTCAGTGTTTTCTATCACTTGAATTGGTCAGTGTTTTCTATCACTTGAATTGGTCAGTGTTTTCTATCACTTAAATTTGTGGGTGTTT